GTTGCCTCATTACGGTAAAGACAGAAAATGGAAGGTTGCTATAAATGGCTACATTGCATCCCTCAAAGTTTACGGACCCCAGTGATCTAGAACTAGCCATAATGGCGGCTCTCGCCACTACATCTCTGGTGATAGCAATGGTGTCTCTGGGTGCACCTGCAGGTGCTGCTGACGATTTGCGCACTTAGAAGGTGGATAAAATAAGTGGGGTGTCTGAGTTACACTTGAGGCCCATGGCAGAAGTAAGTCTCCGAATGAAGGGCAGTAGGTCTTCTCTGCCCACTTTTTCAGGAATACCCCTGAGGCGTATGTTGTGGCGCCGGTGTCTGGACTCTAGTGAGACCACCGGCTTCGTAAGTCCATCTATTTGATGTCTGGTGTCTTCGAGTTGGTTGTCTCTAGATTTCTCCCTGTCCTCCACCCCCTGCTTGATTTTCCCCTGCAAAGACACGAAAGCCGGGTCATTCGGTACTTGCCCTATTTGAACAGTGATACCCCAGATGGCTATGCCATGGAGCCCATTCGTATAACATAAAGACTATGTGAAAGACTTTGGCTCCATGGAACTGTATATATGTTATCTGAGCGCCATTTAGTAATAACGTGCGCTCAGATCAGGAGCCTTGTCTCGTTCTTGGGGGATTTACTGTATGCTGTTGTAGACTGATTGCCAGGAGTGTAAGCCACTTGGGTGCTTTTCCTGTTCAGCTGCTAGCAGCTATTCGTGAGGTTCCAGTTCGGGAGTTTGGAGGTCTACTTTGTATCCTGTTCGGGAGTTTGGGGTTCTGCGGTAGCTGTGCCTGTGTCTCTGGAAGGGGAAGATCTTATAAACGGCGGTTTAAGCCCTTTTATGCCTGGGTGTGCCGTTACACTAGTAATGGGGGTTTGGGTTTTATTTGTGTAGATCCCTCATAGTACTGTCATTGTGGGGTTTTGATTGTAAAAGTGAGCTGCAGTGATTGTACTGATTAGTATTGTAGTTTTACAAGGCTATTTATAAATAGTTAGCCCAACCAATCCTTACTTTACAGATAATGTTTAAACAGTTACGCACACATCTAGCGAGTGTTGATTTTAGCAGCAAATACGAGTTGGAGCATGTAAGGATTTATTTAGTGATCCAAAATCACACCAATATATTACCTGTGACTTATTTGATATAAGATGTACGACTAACCTACTGTCCAAACATGGTCCCTGGATCTTAACAAACAAAGTTGCTAGGAACGCCAAACTGTTTTTCAAGCCACTGACAGTAACTGTTTTTCAAGCCACTGACAGTTTAAGAATTTCTGGCTTTGTAGCCAGTCATTTAAAATCTTTAATCAAGAGGGCAGTGTATGCGTTTATTAGAGGCAGACGTTATCTTCATGTATTGGTTGGTTATAAGTAGAGTTGAGCGAACCCGAAACTGCGCTCTTTTTTTTTTTTTTTAAAGTACGTCGGTTATTCTGGATTTTTATTTGGCCTATTTTGGGGCTGAAAAAATAAGATTTTAGAAGAAAGAAGACATCAAATGGTAAGTCTATTTTTTTTACAGGTATTTAGACAAGGTTCCCCCCTCATTATTTTTAGGAAAAGTGGGGTAGGTAGGGGTAATTTTTTTGGGGGGAGGGGCATGACTAGGGGTTTGGGGACTCTTAGTCACCTGGGAGGGGAATTTTTATTTATGGCCCCCACCCACCGCCCAGGGGTGGGGGCCAGGGGTAGGACATTAGGTCCCCCCCCCATTTTTTTATTTATGGCCCCCACCAACCGCTCAGGGGTGGGGGCGGGGGAAGGACAGTAGGTCCCCCCTTATTGTTATTTAGGGCCCACACCCGTCACACAGGGGTGGGGGCAATAGGTTTTTTTTGGGGGGTGGGGGGTTTTACAGTGAGCAGCCACTGGCTGGTCACTGTTTACTAGACACGCCCAGGGCCGTCTTTAACAAGGGGCAAACGGGGCAGCTGCCCCGGGCCCAATAACTCTTGGGGGGCCCAAAGCAGCTGCCCCGTGGGCCCCCTGCCCGCAACCAGGACTGAACAGCCCACCAGTATACTGAGAAATCTTCCGGTGGGCTGCGGCAAGTGAAGTAATCAGGGCCCCCGGCCCTTTAAGAGAGCACCTGACCGGGCCCCTGTCTGTATGCCTGCTGGGAGGAAGTGAGGTGAGATCACTTCCTGCCAAGTAACAGAGTACCGCTGGGGAGGAGGAGACACACACTATATATATGTGCAGCCGTGGGCGCCCCTGGCTCCCTGTATTTGCAGAGGGGGCCCAGCCGACTGCAGCTGTACTTTACAGCATTTCCCTTGCTCTAACTCCCGCAAGACGTGCGGCCGTTAGAGCGTTGCCACGGGTTACCATGTCTCGCAGGAGTTAGAGAGAGGGAAGATCTGTAAAGTGCTCCTGCAGTCCGCTGGGTCCCCTCTGCAAATACAGGGAGCCGGGGGCCCCACCATGCCACCGGACCACCAGGGATGGAATCTCCTCCCTTCCTGAATCAGGTAAGAAACAGGGAGGGGGGAATATCTTTCATTACATTATATGCATACACTAGTAAACACACACACACACTGCATTCATTACACTGACACACACTCTGCATTCACTACACTAACACACACTCTGCATTCACTACACTAACACACACTGCATTCACTACACTGACACACACACTGCATTCATTACACTGACACACACTCTGCATTCACTACACTGACACACACACTGCATTCACTGCACTAACACACACTGCATTCATTACACTAACACACACACTGCATTCACTGCACTAACAAACACACTGCATTCATTACACTGACACACACTCTGCATTCATTACACTGACATACACTCTGCATTCACTACACTGACACGCACTCTGCATTCACTACACTAACACACACTCTGCATTCACTACATTAACACACACACTGCATTCCCTACACTAACACACACTACACTAACACACACTGCATTCACTACACTAACACAATGCTTCCATTACACTGACATACACTCTGCATTATTTATACACACAGCATCCACTACACAAACATCCTGCATTCACAGTACACACACTACAACCACCACACATTCAAACACTCTGCATTCACTATACAGAGACACTGTGTCTAATACACACACTACTACATCCATTACAGACACGGCATCCACTAAACACATTGCATCTAGTCCACACAAACACTACATCCACTACGCAAACACACACTACATCACTGTACACACACTACATCCACTACTCAAACACACTCTGCGTTCACTATACACACTGCATCCGCTACACAAACACACACT